GCTGCCGGCTGGGCCTAAACCACGACAGCATACTGACTATTTTATATAGTAAGTGCAAAACTAACATTTGTCTCCTAAGCTCTAAAGTCACCATGATTACTATTGACTCTTTGGTGCAGCACTCCTCCATTTTCAATAGCCTAAGGTGCAGAAGGTGGCATCGTCTGCTTGTGGAGAATTAGGGCAGAAGTATTTGCTGTCTCAAAAAAGGGACAATGACTGAGTGGAACAAAACGTAGCCTCGCTTCATGAGCAACTTCCACCCTAAGCCATCGCTGTTGTTCAAAAAAAAAAAAAAATCAGACATGCCAGTGCAGTGAGTATAGCAGATTCTCTAATATGATGGCCTCTTCTTCTAGCAAAAGGCAGGAGAGAAACATATGGGAAAGGAGAGGCAGATGTTTTACCTGGCAGGAGTCCTTCCCTCTCTTCATGAATCCTACACATATCATGTTCTTGGTAATTTGCCCAGGGTAGGCTTTGGTGCACTCGCTTGAAGAGCGTACAGGAGCCTTCAGGCACTGCAAGGTGTCTGGATATGGATCTACAAGAAAATAGAGATGGTTGATGGCATCACCAAGTTCATTTCAGAGCCCGGTCTTTCTTAGCAGAAAAGTAATGATTGAATATCTTGTTTTAGTGGTTGTCATTTTTCCCCTGAATAGTAATTGGAGCATGGATTCCTTTTGTTTAGGTGGAACAGATTCTACACGTGGGTCCACCATCCTACACTGCAGCCACGTTAATTTTTCTGATACCTAGAAAAATCATAAATTGGCAAGTGTGGAGCTAAAAGCTACTCTGGTAGCACATGGACTGGAGGAAACCTGGGAAGACCAGGTTTCTCTTCTGGTGCAGGTTTAGTTGTCATCAGCGAGTTAGACACCATTCATCATCCACACCTCTGACCATGTGTAAGAGAATGGAGCTCTCCTGTAATAATTTCAGATCTACAATCACAGATTTTAATCTTATTTTAAGAGACCTGACAACTCTGTTGGCAGTAGTTAAATTGCTACTGCTTGGCACTGCACCGCTGATAGTGCCAGACCACAAAATTTATGGCATTGTGAACATGCTGGTGAACGGCACATGGATGACTTAAGCGATTCCATGTTCATGACACAGAACAAGAGGAAGGACCTTCTAAAGGCCTGCCTTTAAAGCTGTTAAATGGTTACTGTCCTACACAGACTGATCACTCAAAAAGGCCTGTCCCACAGCACTTCTCTGTGCTTTACCCTGTACTGGTTGGAGTTAATTGCGAGGTCTTAGAGTGTCTCCTGGACCCTCATGATGCTGTACATTCCCACAGAGTACTTGAGTGTGTTGCCCCAGCCAGAGACTAGGCATTCGGTGCCTGTGGTCACACAGCTGGTAGGCAGAGGAACTGTTTGGACAGCTCAGTTGAGCTGGGCTGGTTTGGCAAATTTGATGAGCATAATGTCATTGTCCAGTGTTGCGGAGCTGTAGCCAGAGTGGCAGATTACTTTAGCTGAACTAATCAACTGCTCTGTCGATTCTAAGAGCGCCAGGTTATTTTTCCAGAGCTGCACTTGGATGCGACTGGGAAAGAGAAGGAGTGGCATATACAATGGCAGTAAAGACTGCTACTGATAGGTTATGAGGAACCTCCCCATCACTGTATGCACTCGCTTCAACATTGCTATCATAGTAGCTGTTTTCATGCAGATTATCTTTCTCGTCCTGCAATAAACCCTGGGGATCCACACTGAGATTGTACCCACTCCCTGTACAGGTGGTGAATTTATGCAGGTTTATTTTGTTGAGCTGGGACAAATTGAATATATAATGGTGCTTTATAGAAACATTCTGGAAAAAGGAAAACTGCTATCACCCCGACCTCATTCCTCTTCCTGTTCTCCAGTGACCAAGTCTTAGCAAGATTAATGCAATTTATAAAAATCACAGCCCATAACTTGTTGCTAGAATAATACATTGTCATTTCAGAAAGTGCTCTGCATTCACAGAAATATTTGAAGAAGTGGAAAACCCATCATGATGCCTCAGCCCAGCATCCTGGGCAGCACCCGTTTCTTGGTTGTCTCCTGTCAGAATGGAGTCACTTACATATTTGGATCTCACAGCCCAGAGTACTTGCTAGAAGTGAACTGGAAGAAAGAAGTAGGTTATGGAATATTTTTTTTTATATTTTTTTAACACTCACGACTTGTAGCAGGGAGCAGCTGACAGGACCCACTGGCTGTTGATGACGGAACCTCCACAGAAGTGATACCCAGAATCCAGGGACACCTGATAGGGGACAGAGTTCTCTGCACAGGTGTAGCCTCCCACGATCTTGTCAGCAGCAGCAGCAGCATTGATGGGGAAGGCAACTGGGAGATAGAAGTGGCATATGTCAATATCTGACATAAGGAATCTTGTGCCCGTGACTGAAAGAATCTCACTCGTAGGCTCTGCTTCTATAAAAACTCATGGTAGCAGTGGTGGGCAAGTCTAATGGACATTCATTTGCTGCTCCCTAAAATAAGGTGGTCAAACAGATTGGCGTCTCATGTATCTGCATCTAAAGCACCAGCTTCTAGTCCCAGAGTGAACATAGTAGTGGTCAATACTTACTGATTGTAAGTACAAAACAAGTCTGCAGAGATATTTCCTTGGAGCACTCGCCCATAGTCCAAAAAATTACAGCAGCTTTCAGATTTCCTGAGGCAGAGGTGTTACCTTTGTGCTTCATAGTCCTTACAAGAGAGGCAGTCTCTTTTGAAGCTATGGACAGTATTCCTGGGTCAACAACCACTATGAAGCCATTCATTCCATTTTTGGTGAAGCAAGCTGTTATGAGCAGACAGCAGTCAAAAGAAGTTGCAGTGCTCTGCTTTAAAACTTTTGCGAGTTGAAACTGGACTTCACTTTCCCACAATAGACTACCTTGCAAATTTGCCTAGAAAATGAGCTTCCCTATAAATCACAAAAATAGAAGTAAAAAACATACTCACAGCCACACCAACAAAGGTGACAAACAGTATGTATTTCGTGATCTGGACACAGCCTCAAGCCCAGACTGGTGGACTGGAAGCGTGAGCTGCTAGGAATACATTTTTTTGAAATGGTCTTATCTCTAGTCCAAGGTTTTCTCCAGACAAAAAGTACACAGTCGAAAATTTGAAGATCCAAACGTGGGCATTAACAGAAAGTACAAATAACATATCAGTTAATCATAAACATTTCCTAAGATAAAGAGCTATTTTAAATTATTTCAGAGGGCAATCTTCAATTTAAAAATACGTTTGGGCTTTGGAAGATGTGTGGTTGTTGGCCTGTCTCATTCTTATATGCAGCACCTGTTGACAGCAACCTTCAAACCCCTTTGAGAATTCTCTGTGCTGATGGTGTCATTCTTAAAAATGCATATTTCTACTGGAAACTGAATATTGTAGGTAATGGACAGTAAGACACTACACATTTATATGGAAGAAAAAAATCCAGACCCAAAACCTCTCAGTGTTAAGTTTGTTAAATTTATTTCAGTAATACTCTCTTCTGCTCAATGGTGTTGTACATTCCACAGACCCATTGTCAGGTTTTTTCCCAGGCTCTTTCCAAAAATTCAGTCCGGGGCTACATCTTACTCCAAGGTTTTCTCCAGACAAAAAGTACACAGTCGAAAATTTGAAGATCCAAACGTGGGCATTAACAGAAAGTACAAATAACATATCAGTTAATCATAAACATTTCCTAAGATAAAGAGCTATTTTAAATTATTTCAGAGGGCAATCTTCAATTTAAAAATACGTTTGGGCTTTGGAAGATGTGCGGTTGTTGGCCTGTCTCATTCTCATACGCAGCACCTGTTGATAGCAACCCTCAAACCCCTTTGAGAGTCCTCAAAGGTGCTGACGGTGTCATTCTTAAAAAATGCATATTTCTACCAGAAACTGAATATTGTAGGTAATGGACAGTAAGACGCTACGCGTTTATTTTGAAGAAAAAAATCCAAACCCAAAACCTCTCAGTGTTAAGTTTGTTAAATTTATTTCAGTAATACTCTCTTCTGCTCAATGGTGTTGTACATTCCACAGACCCATTGTCAGGTTTTTTCCCAGGCTCTTTCCAAAAATTCAGTCCGGGGCTACATCTCCAGCTGCAAACAAGGCTCCCATTTAATGCAGTGAGGCAGACTGCTGGTGGCTCCAGAGGCACAGGAAAGAGGGGCAGGATTGGTGAATAGAGGGCAGCTGTGTTAGATATTAGCCATGGACAAGCAATGGCAGCTTGCATTTCTAGAAAGCCACGTTCCTTGTTCAAGTATTTCATTCAACCACATCATCACTGGACCCAGATAAAGTAAATACATTTGTCCAGGCTGATGCAAGATCCTGGGAAAGTGAAACCTGGCAAGACCATGGGCTGACAGAGATAAAGCTCCCCAGGAGCATAAAGGGGAGGAGTTTCTGAGGCTAGACCTTGTATATCTTACAGAGCTTGATGCTGGAGGCACCACTAATTCTCTCTTCCCAAGTCTCTCCTGCTGGGAGCAGCTGGTACATTCTCCAAAGCTTCTAATCCTCCAGCTCTGCATATCTGAGCAAACTTTCTGTCACAGCCTCCTGCCTTGTCTTCTCTGCCTGCATTTCTCTTTCTCTCATTGGCATCATTCTGCTTTTCTTCCATTTCCACCCATGTCAGAGACTTGGGCTCTCAGTCTCCTAAAAGGACAGAGGAGGTAGGATGTGACAGGGGTATGTAAAATTATGAGTGGCCTGGGGAGACTGGGAAAGGATGGATTGCTTGCTGTCTCTTCCTGTATGAGAATTAGGGGGTTAGCAAGCAAAGCTAGGGGGGTTGGCAGGTTCAAAACAAACAAAGGACAAATCCTCCTCTTTTAGGAAAGCTGTGAGTACCTTTCCACAGGTTTTTGAGGATCCAAAAGGTTTATATGGCCTCAAAAAATGAGGGTACACATTTGTGGAAGAAAAAAACATTGAGGGCTATAAGGTTGAAAGACACTCCATCTGACCTCCCCTGTCCCCAGGAACTGCCAGATGTTGGACAGTTCCCTGCTACTATATCCCAGTAAGACCAAAGAGAAGCACAGAGCCCTCCGGACTTTCACCCATCTGGCAGGATGTTTCCTATGACCCAGAAAAGAATAGTCAGGGCTGTCAAAGTCCTGCAAAACAGTTTGGAGAGTTACCCAAACACATCCCTTCATCTGCTGGAGCATAGAAGAGGTCCTGAGAGCAGCTCAGCCCCTTTTGAGCAGGATGGGAGGGGTCAGATCAGAGCTGACCTCACAAAGGTGTGTGTTAGAAGGTGGGTTTATCTGACAGTACTGCTGTGTTGTTCTTGTTCAGGCTGAGATGGGAAGTGAGGATAGGGCTTAAATCATGGGAACATTTGCCTTCATGATTCCTAGTTCTGAAAGGTGCTTGCCTGGGGAGTAAAATACCTAGCTTTCCTAGGCAGCATAAAGACTCCTCAGAGCATCTCTTTCCATATGACTCCTCTTGTGTTCAGGGACTAGGATCTCTCAGAAAGGATCCACAGGTAGAAATCCCCTCTGCCTTCCTTCTCCTATAGCTGGTTCCTGTATTGCTTGGATAAATCTTTAAACCCGATCCAGAGAGTAACTGATTGTGATGCACATTTCCTTCTCCAGTCTTTGAGCAAAATTTCCCTGCATCCTGGAAATTCTCCAGCTGCCTTGATACAGACTTTTTTTCCTGCCCTCCTCCTCCTTCCTTGTCCAAGGCACAGAACCCAGACATCTAGAGAAGAGTATGGCCAAGGGAAACTGTGGCATTTAGCATCCAGTTTTGGTGAAGAAGAGATTGGGAAACCAGGAGAGGGAGAGGCAGAGTGAAGGACAAAGGGAGAGGATTTAGGATGGTTGAAGACACTCTCCAGGGAGAGTGGAGGGAGCTGAGGTGGATCATTGTAGCCCAGAGGGTCCAAGAAGAGCCAGGATCAACTCAAGAGACACCAGAGCTGAGTTATTCTGAGTGATCAAGCAAGGGGCAGCAAGCAAAAAATCAGGTGACAGGGGATAAGGTTAAAAAAATACAAAGACCTGCTCTGAGTCTGGGACCTGCCAAGGGTCCCTTCCCAGCTGCACCTCTGACCACCCAGCTCTTCCCCAGTTTCAGAAGTGGGGTTCCCCACCCAGTCCAGATGTGATGAAGCTGGCTGAAACCAAATGGAGGGACAGATGGTCTCCAATATTAACTGAAATCTAGGCCTCTCCATAGCAATTCTGGGTGATAAAAAGATGTGTTATTCCTCTGAGGCCATGGGCCTTTTATTATACCAATCCGTTGGAAATGGCATAGTTCTGTCCATGGATTCCATGTTCCCAGGTAATATATCCCTGGATCCCAGGGTTCATGTGCTCCTGGGTCCCCTCTTCATGAGGCCCATGTCTCAGGTCCTGTGTCCCTAGGGTCCCCCGACCTAAAGTATCATGTCTTTCAGGTTTCCAGTTCCCTAGTCCCATATCTTCAGTCTCCTACCACTAGAAGCTCAGCTTCTGCACAGAATAGCTTCTCCAGGGTTTTTTTTTCTTTTTTAATTTTTTTTTCCAAAGAGGTGTGGAGGAGTCAGCTGTATTCTCCAAGCATTTTCTGGAACATTCCCATTTAAGCTTTGCACCAAGCAGGTTAGCGTTTTGGAGCTGACTTGCTCCAGCTATCCTGCATTCTTCCCCACTGCTTGAAGACCCCTGGGCTTTGTTCTGTTTGTGGGGACACTGGCTAATCTTAACCCAAGCAGAAACACCATTTCAACTTATGCTACTGCTGTAGAAACTGCCAGGTTCTCCAATGTTACCATCAAAGCTACTGACAGTCTGCTGGGGAAAGACTATAGGGTGGGAAGAGGGAACTAAATTATTCAGAAAACACATAACCAGATCTGCAATCCCCTTCTCCCAAGAATGCCAATGCACCAGATGGACCTACTCCATGCTCAGTACTTCCCTAGGGCATGGAGGATCTTGACCTTTCCCCAGAGAGCACCAATCTCCCCATAAACCTCAGCCCTGATACCAGAGTCTCTTAAAATAGTTTTTGATCTCTTTTGGAACATTTTCAGCTCATCTCCCTCATTGCTGTGGAGTTGTGACATCTGCCTCCACTTATGGAAGTCCCATTCAGTGGTCCCATCATAGCCCTATTCCCTCCCCTTCCTGAAAATTGTTACCTCTCATTTTTTCCAGGACCTCATTTCCCCCTGAGCCAAGGGTATTGGAGGTCATGTCCACACAGAGTCCACCGCTACTCACCCCATTGCCGCTGAAGCTGCCATCACCTTTGCTGTTGTTATTGCTGCTGCCAGCGTTATGAAAGAAGTTTGGCTGAGTCCTTGGCCAAGTCTTGCTTGTCCCTGCTTCCCCCCTTCCAGACAGCAAAGTGTTGTACCTCCAGAGCCTGGGCCACTGCCAGCATCAAGTGCTGATGGCCTCAGTCCTGCCTCCCACCTTACACAGCAACCACAAGGTGGTGCATGCCCAGCAGCACCTCTTCATCCTGGATTACAGCAAGACCCTCTTCTTTCTCCATGACTCTGGCTGCCATGCCTGCCACTGCCAGGCCTTCTCCTGTGACATGAAGGAAGTATGCCACATCCACATTACTGCCCCGTCCCCACCACTGTTCCCATCACTGTTCCCATCCTGGTCTTTGTCTATGCAGGTATCTTGTCCTCAACCCGGTCCCTCTGACTGTCCTTAAAGGTATCTTGTCCCCACAGGTCATCTTTGCCAGCCTAGGTCAGGAAAGCTGTTGGTTTTGTCCCTTAAGGTGATGCTACTTTGTGTTGCCCTCCTCTGTGGTCAGGCTGCGTTGCCTGCTCTTCCCCTGAGGTGATGCTGTCTCTGACTGGCCAGCTAGGCTATCACTCAGCTCAGGTGTGGTGCCCACCCTTCCCTGAGGTGATGCTGTCTCTGACTGGCCAGCTAGGCTATCACTCAGCTCAGGTGTGGTGCCCACCCTTCCCTGAGGTGATTGCTCGCTCTGATTAGCATCCAGAGGGGGCATCTCCA